TTATACTCTTGCGACTCTTCTACACATCAGCAGCCAGCTGTCTTCCACAGGGTTGTTACAAACCCCTTCTCTTCAGGAACAGCTTGTCCTCAAGCTGGAAAGGAGGGAAATTGCTGTTTGAAGTTGCTCAAGTCTTCCCAGGTAGCGTCTTCAACTGGTTGATGTGTCCACTGAACGAGAATCTGCGTCACAGCCCTGTTGTTCTGGTTGACAAATCGTCTGGCTAGAATGCCAGCAGGAGCGAGCTTCAAGGAGCCATTGTCATCCGAATCTGGGAGCTGTAAAGCGGCCGGTGGCACCACTGAACGGCAGAGCTTGAGCTGTGACACATGGAACACTGGATGAATCTTCGATTCTGCAGGCAGGGCAAGTTTGTAGGCCACAGCTCCTATTCTGGTAACCACTCTGTATGGACCGAAGTAACGCGCATCCAATTTATTCCCTTGTCTTCCAACCACAGACCCTTGGCGGTATGGCTGCAAGCGAAGATAAACCCAATCCTTAACCCGGAGCACCCTTTCCGATCTTCTCCTATCTGCATATTGCTTCTGCCTGTTTTGTGCTTGGGTGATATTGTGAGTGAGTAGTTGAGTCACCCTGTGTTGCTTGCTTACTCTGTCTTCAACTGCTCCTGCTGTAGTAGGCAGAACTGCTCCCAACCCAAAGAATGAAGGGGGAAACCCATAAAGAGCTTCAAAGGGGGACATTTGCAAGCTGATGTGGAAGTGTGTATTATAACACCACTCGGCCAGGGCTAGCCAGTCTACCCAATCTTGCGGTCGGTGAAAGGTCATACAGCGCAAGTAGTCCTCCAAACACCTATTAACACGCTCAGTCTGCCCATCTGTTTGTGGATGGTAGGCCGTTGTGTAGTGTAGATCAGTGTTGTGCAGGCGAAAGAATTCGGTCCAGAACGTGCTTGTGAACGTCGCATCCCTGTCGCACACGATAGTAGAGGGCATGCCATGGTACTTGAACACCCCATTGAAGAATATAACAGCCACTTCAGCAGCTGTATAAGGGTGAGAAAGAGCAAAGAAATGAGCTGATTTGGTGAATCTGTCCACCACCACGAAGAGGACTTGTTTGCCTTTCGAAGTGGGAAGCCCCTCCACAAAGTCCATACTAATGTCACGCCATGCTCGTGTTGGAATGGGGAGGGGTTGAAGAAGTCCAGGGGAAGCCACCGTCTCCGTTTTACACCGCTGACACACTTCGCATTGAGAAACCCACTGAGTTACAGCAGCCTTCATTCCCTGCCAATAAAAATATGATTTAAGACGCTGGTAAGTTCCCTGAGCTCCGGAATGCCCCCCCCACCGGTGAAGAATGAAAAAGGCGGAGGAGTTTGTGACGCAAGAACCCTGTTGAACCCACCACGACAGCTCCTTTGTAGCGGAGAATCCCTTCAGAATACGCCCACAAGGAAGGTCCAGAAGAATTGACAGCAACAGCCGTTATTAGAGCAGCTACTTCAGCATCATTCTCATATGACTGCTCAATTTCTACAAGCCATTCGGGAAGAACGGTCGACAAAGCATGGCAAGAACTGCCCTCAATCTCATCTTCAAACACCCTAGAGAGAGCATCTGCTGCTCCATTATAGCGCCCCTTCCTGTATTTAATTTGGAAATCAAGTCCCATGAGTTTAACTAAACCCTTCTTTTGGATAGCTGTATGTACCTTCTGCCCCAAGAGGAATTTCAAACTCTCGTGATCTGTGACAATTGTAAACTGTCTTCCCTCCAAGTAATGTCTCCAGTGATCTACAGCCATCAATACAGCCAAATATTCTTTTTCATATGTGCTCAACCCTTGATTTCTTAGACTTAGTGCTTTGCTATAAAAAGCTAAAGGCCTTCCTCCTTGTGAGAGTACAGCTCCCACCCCAGTACCGCTGGCATCAGTTTCAAGAGTAAAAGCTTGAGTGAAATCGGGAAGTCCCAAAACAGGAGCGTGACTCATAGCTGTCTTGAGAGCAACAAACGCATTTTCCGCAGCTGCAGACCATTGAAATCCATTCTTCTTTAACAACTCAGTGAGTGGGCGGCTAATAATGCCATAATGCCTGATAAATTTGCGGTAATAACCCGTGAGACCCAAAAATCCTCTCAAACCCTTCACAGAAGTGGGACGAGGCCAGGTTTGCATTGCTGTCACCTTGTTATTGTCCGTAGAAACTCCATCCTTGCTAATGACATGGCCAAGATACTCCACAGTGGGCTGCCCGAAAGAGCACTTGGAGGCCTTAGCATACAACTGATGTTTCCGGAGTAGCTGTAGAACAACCTCAAGATGATGGAGGTGGTCTGCCTCGGTCTTGCTATAGATCAATATGTCGTCAAAGAACACCAAAATGAACTTTCTTAGATGCTGCCCAAAAACATGATTCATTAACGCTTGAAAAGTAGCCGGGGCATTAGTCAACCCAAAGGGCATAACCCGAAATTCGTAGTGGCCTTGGTGGGTGCGAAAGGCAGTCTTGAATTGGTCAGCAGGATGCATTCTCACCTGGTGATAACCTGCCCTTAAATCCAGTTTTGAAAATATTACAGCCCCGTGCAACTCATCCAACAAATCTTCAATGTGTGGGATTGGAAACTTATCCTTGATGGTGGCAGAGTTCAATTCACGATAGTCCACACAGAATCTCCACGTACCATCCTTTTTCCCAATTAACAGAACAGGGGAGGCATAGGGGCTGTGACTCTCCTGAATGAACTCGGATTGTAACATCTCAGCAACCAATTTCTCAGCTACCTCTTTCTGGTGGTGGGGAAAACGATAGGGCCTGATATTTATTGGCTTATTATTGGGGATCAGGGGTATAGTGTGATCAAATGGTCGAGGAGGTGGGAGGGAAGTGGGGGTGGCAAAAACATCAGAGAATTTGGTGAGAATGGGCTGTAAGAAGGAAGGTGTAGGGAAGGGAGTAGTAATGGCTTCAAGGGAAAAGATAGCTCCCATGAAATGGGCAGAAGGCTTCTTCAAGAGCTGCTGAAAGTCTCGGCCTGACATCATCTTACACTGCCCTTCTCTTGTGAGGCCCTGCAATGTCAAAGTCCTCCCATGCCACTCAAAGGCCAACTGTCGCTTCTTCAAGTCAACTTGAAACGGACTAATCGTTTCCAACCAATCCCAACCCAACACGAGATCATGAGCAGGTAAATCCAAGGTACGAACATCAAACCCGAACTCCTGACCTTGCATTTTCCAGCTAAAACCTTTGCAAACCGAATTACTCAACAAAGTATGTCCACTAGCTACCTTGACACGCATAGGGGCTATACTCTCAGTCCTACAATTCAGTTCTTCAGCCCTAATGGAGTTTAGAAAAGTATGGGAACTACCTGTGTCAATGAGGACTGTAACCTCCTGTTGGCCCGCTGTTGCTGGTATGAGAAGCGAGTTTCCCGCGAATCCAGATCCCATGGTTTGTAACGAAACCTCCAACTCAGCATCTTGATACACCTCCTCTTGGTCATCCTCCTCACTGTAACGGACAGACTCTTCCGCCTGCATTGCGTGTAACTGCTTCTTCTTGGAACAAATGTGGCCATGGAAATATTTGTCGCCACATTTGTAACAGAGCCCCTGCCCCCGAGGAATGGGATTTCTTTCTACTGCCGCCGGAGAAAGACTAGACTGTTCTCTGGGAAAAGCGGTGCCCGATGAATTAGAAGAAGAAGCCGACCAACGAGGGGGAGGAACAGAACGCGATTTCTTCTTGCGAGCTTCTATGGCGGATTCCTCCAGTCGAGCTTGGTAAAACGCACAGGCCAAAGTCGGTGGATTGAGCACCTGCACGCGAGGCTGTATCTCGTCATCTAAGCCTCCCAAAAAACTCATGATAAAGTAGTGCTCGTTGAGCTCCGGATTTAACCGAAGCAGCCGCGAACGAAGGTCTTCAAAATCCTCCTGGTAACGAGCAACGGAGGTCGTCTGCCGCAGCTTATTGAACGCGGCCACCACGTTCAGCTGTTCGCGGTGTCCAAAACGATGAAGCAGCTCATCGACGAAATGGCCCCATATCAACGGAAAGCGCCGAAAAGACCATCCTTCAAACCATGTATATGCCCGACCTTCTAGATAGTACGAAACCAGATCGACCTTCTGCTCCTCAGGAATTGAGTAGAGATGGAAGAGCTTGTTGCACTTGCTCACCCACACATGAGGATCCGAACCAGAGAAGTAAGAAAACTCCAAACGGGGATAGTGATCCAGGATCGATGGCCGACGTTGCTGCTGTTGGCGAAAGTTGTGCTGATCGGCGACGGAATCCAACGAGGGAGACGACGAACCGATCGGAGACTTCTCGCGACTTCGGGCGAAGGATGCCGCCAGAGCATCAATGTTGTCTTTCGTTGATGCCGCGAGCTCCGCAATGGCAGACTTCAGATCCTGGTGGTGAGAATCCAATTGGAGCTGTACCGACGCCATTTGCGCCTCCAAATCAATGATACGAGAAGTGTTAGATGCCATTGCCAGATCAAAGGCTCTGAATACCACTTGTAAGGATCGTGCTTGGGAGATCTGACGAAATGGAGATGGCGAAGAAGAAGAAAGGGGAAATGGGGAGAACAGAGAGGCTCTTTTATTAAGGCTAACTAATTGGTAAAGTGCTACAAGATAACAGATTGGTCCAAAAGATAGCAATTCACAGTTGCCTTCCTCTATTTATACTCTTGCGACTCTTCTACACATCAGCAGCCAGCTGTCTTCCACAGGGTTGTTACAGCGGACCAGCAAACACATTCCCAATGGGACCTGACAACATGTTGTGGCTTAGATTCCTGCAGCATGACAAACAAAAATAGCTTATTACATACGCACTAACAGAAGGAGAACATAATCTGAAAAGATAAAAAAATAACAAGTGAAGAAGCTTTTGATGATAGGAAAGTTGCAGATTTCTGAGGAGTTTAAAATTTTGGTGAAATATAATTATTTGACAAGTTAACCATCTAGACTGCCAGCCTGCTACTTGATTTCCGACTAGTTTAATATTGGGCAAAGATTGAGGTATATTCTGCTAAGTTGTTGCATGCTAAGTTTCTGCATAAGCCATAAAGTAAAACATCAAAAGGAGTCTCAAGCACGCAAACATGTACTAATTCGAATCCAGAGGATACGAGAAATGAAAAACTCACAAGTGGGTGACAATAATGGGTAGGCTGTAAGGAATTTCACTAGTGATGTTATTGGAGCTAAGATCCCTAAGAATAGAAGGATGACCAGAGTGCAGAAAAGATCAATGAGAGGTAGTTCCATAATCTGAACTCAAGTTAAGAAGAGTTAACTCACAGTTTTCTCAACTCATGGAGCAAATGTAACAGGCTCCCCATGTATCCACTCAAGTTCAAACCCTGAAGCTTACTGCAATAGTGAATATATAGCAAGAACAGCAAGAAACAGACGCTGCTCTAAAATGTGAACAAATGTATTTGAAGTCAATTAGAAAAGGGCAACGAGAAGGGGAATTACAGGAGGATAACAGTAGATCCATAACATGAGATGCCCATCCATGACTCAATTGGGCCGGGTTATTCAAAGCCATGTATTGATCTTCAGGGGCTAGTGACCAGACCATCATCAGAACAAGTGACCAAACTCAATTGACTATCAAATTCCTTACAAGCAGTCCTCTCTCCTCTATCCAGTAAGCATACAAGGTTATCCTCCGTGAAGACCCTGCAGAAGCAGTAAGCACAATGGGTTTAAGACCCTAATAGAAACCCGATTCTTCGTGATCTATCATATTATCATTTATAGTATTTCTTAGGATTTTATTAGATATGGTTAGAAGTATTTGAGTCACATTAGGATAGTCTATTAGGTTTTCCGGTCTTTAGTTATAAATATGTATTTTGCGTTTTATTCAGAATCAATCAAGAAGAATGTTAAGAAAAACTCTCCTAAACCCTAATCTCCCAATCCTCTCAATTCTCGATCTCAACTCTCTAAAGGCTTAAGCTGATGCTCTATCTTTCTCTTCTCAAATCTCTAATTTTGTTCTTCAATCCCTAAATCCCAATTCCACAACCCGACCGATAGATTCTTAGCAACAGGTTCTATCAGACCCTGCATTATAGAAGTATACTGAAAGTTGAGATAACTTAGCAGCCAGTTCACAAGACCATCCATCAACAAGTTCATTCCTGAAACAAATTCCATCTATATGAAAAGAGCACATCACCTGCAAAAGAAAGTAAAGCCTCTCTGACCTCGTGCATAATGACATTGATCTATCTGCAGTTCCATGAAAAAGAATGATGGGCGACAAATGAGATACAACAGCTTAGGCACTTGGATCCTTTAGTCTAACTTCGGGCGATAATTTATGCAATGATTCCTCACACTTCATTATGTTGTATCCACACGTTAGATGAACTGGATAAGGTGACAAATATGTGCAAACACTTAACTGAAATAGAACAACAAAAATTTACGAGTTGGAATTGTTAGTTTCCTGGGAAGTTACCTTGAGAAAATTGAGTGATACGGACCATGGTTGTGGAGCTGGTCAACCAACTTCAATAGTTTGTACCTGAAATATGGGAAGTCATAAGTAGTGTTGATGCTTCATCATGTTCGAAACTCAAAGGCCAGATTCAAGGAAAAGTAAAAAGGCTATGCACTCACCAGTAAGTCTAGCAAAATAAAAGAGAAAATTATCAATGTCGCTCCAGTCTGCATCTCCTCCCACAAAATGAAACAGAAAATCATTAGTAGTCCACATCAATAAATAAAAGAGACAGGTAACATGAAGAACTGTTAACAAATTTTCCCGTAGGTATGCTTCAATCACCGCTGGAAAACAAGATAGAAAGCGCATTTGTAGGAGGCAGCTTCTGACCCTGCTCCACGATTCAAACTAGGAGCCAATGCCAGGATTAGGCTACCGAAACTGAACACAGTTCATGTAGAAAGGGATGAAGGCTATGTCAGTTGATGCAATACTAATCGAAATGACAAAACATGCTCAGCAATACACAGCTGTAGCTATCCTTAAATCTGCTTCGTTTCTATAGTAGTTGTTCTAAGTAGTTTAGCTACCAACCAAACGACCAACCATTTTCAACAAATCATAATAGCATTTCCAAAACCATAGACAAATACAAAAGCATGCAAAAACTTGTCCTCAAATGCAATTCATGATAGATGCAACAACAGTTACCAGCAATTCAGGGGAAACTCGTACTAATCAGCTAAGCAGCGACTACCACATAAGCAAACTGATTGTGCGGTGTTTAGTGTTCCATTGTCAGTAAGTACTGGTTGAGTACAGTACTAATTAGTGGAATCGAATTACAGATTTCTAAGATCTCAAACAAACAAAAAATTCCTCGGAGGAAAGCAGCTGTGAGCTCCGATCTACACGTGGGGAATGTCTTATGCTCCAGTTAATCAAAACACAATTTCACACTCATGCATCCATTATTGATCATCTCAATTAGTGACAAAATATTATGCTACTTACTCCACACCGTGCCTTCTATAGCTCGTTATGAAAAAGTTAATCAACAACTAAAAGAAGAGGAATTTCTCAGCCTATGAGATCTGGAGAAACAGAGATTCCTTACCATAAGATCGATTGCTCAGGCTTGAAAACAAGATGCATACATCAGTTGTTCACGATGATTTTGTTGTACTTATTCGATTCTGGCTCTGCAATATCCTATTATGCCGGAACCTCGTAATCACCTAGCGAACCATGTAGTATGAGATTCTAACATCGAACTCCAGTGAGGATCGGGAAAAATTTCCAATGGAGAAAAGCAAAAGAAATCTGATTCGGTGCTACCTTGTGGCAGTCGACAATGCCAGGGATGACCTCCCCTTCCGTTCTCTCTCTAATCATGACGATGTCGACATTTTCTCATGGAGGCAAACCAGGTACATTGAAGCAGTTCACTATAGGAAGCGTACAAATCAAGTATGCCTTGTTCTTCTTGATCAATTCGATGACCTCCAGCGGCACCTTCGGCATATTTCCGTGGACATCGTAGCGCTCAACGGAGCCGGTGACGAGACCAATTCCGTCGTCGGGAATCAAGACGAGGGCGCATGGATCTCCGTCTCTGGGCCGAGGCATCTCGGTGACGGATCTGTGAGAGGTCAAGCAGGAGCAACATGACGATGAGGCACGGCGGAGGAGGATGCTTAAGGAGAGGCACGGATCTCTTGGATTTCAAGGGTTGGAATAGGTGAAGCGGGAGCCTTGGTTTTGCGGTTCTCTGCATTGCAGAGCAGCTACAAACAGCATTGGAAGGAGAGGAGATCAGGAGAAAAAAGAGTAAAGTTGGAATTGTTATTCGTTTCAGTGAAAGCAATTAACAGTAGAAATACTACTTCCCAACTTTGAGCTCTCTCTCCCGAAAAACTTTCATGATCTTTGGTAGCGATTTTGCTAAACCATTAGCCAGAATTTTAGAAATTACATTTATAAACTACATTGCAACAAGAAATGATCGGATCCTTCACTCCTATTATGAGAAACGAAGTTAGAGAATGAAAGGAAGATAGCAGCTACTAACGAATTACTTGGATTTTGTGGAAGAGGAAAGCTCAGGTAGACTGATTACATAAAACATCGACACGTGTCCTCAAACGATAGACTAAAAGTTTAAATAAATAGTAAACTTAATGGCTACCATCTACTTAATGCTACGTTGTCGTTCCAGTCTATTTCTTCTCTTCGTCTTCAATACGACTCCTTCTCTTCAGCACGACATTGTTTCTTCTCCTACTTCTATTCCTTATGCAACAAGGATTGCAACCTTCTTATTTCCTTCCTTGTTCTTCAACGAACTGCAGCAAGCTTCCAGTAAACATTCCAGCTCTGTCATCCCCCCTCAAGTTGAAGGTATCAACTTGATCCCCAACTTGACTAACAATCCTTCAATCTGAACCGATCCAGACCCTTTGTAAAGATGTCTGCCAACTGCTCAGTAGTGTTAACATACTTCAACTTGATTAGTCCAAGCTCCCTTTCTCTTGTAACGTGCATGTCTATCTCGATGTGTTTTGTTTTTTCATTAAAGACTGGGTTTTCTGCTATGTGTATAGCAGACCTGTTGTCATAATACACTATTATAGGCAAAGGAATCTATATGGTTAACTCTGACAACAATCTCTTCAACCACTCCACTTCACATACCAGGTGTGCCAACGCCCTATACTCTGCTTCTGAAGATGACCTCGAAACCGTGGCCTGCTTCTTGGTCTTCCATGTTAGGGAGGATCCCAGCAGAGTACAGTACCCTGTAATGGACCTTCGTGTGCCAGGGCAACTTGCCCAATCTGAGTCATTGTAGGCTGATAACTTCAATTCTGCTTCACCGCTAAAGTGGATGCCTTGGTTTGGGGAGGATTTCAAATACCTCAACACCCTGTATGCTGCCTGCATATGTTCCATACATGGTGCCTTTGGATATTGACACAACTGTTGTACAACAAATGCAATATCTGGCCTTGTCAGGTAATGTAGTCTTCCCACCAGTCTTCTGTATCCCTCTGCATCTTCTAGTGGAGTGCCCTTATATGTTAGCCTCACTTTAGTGTCAATAGGTGGATTGCAACCCTTTGATTATAAGTAACCTGTATCCTTTAGAAGTTCCAGGCAATACTTCCTTTGACAAACATCTAACCCTTCTGCAGTTCTACTGACTTCTAAACCTAGAAAGTGCTTGAGAGGTCCTAGCAATTTGATCTTGAACTCTTTGCTTAGGGCTGCCTTCACCTGCCCAATGTCTTTCTTTGAATCTCCTCCTAGGATAATATCATCAACATAGACTAGCAACACAATAATTTTCCCATGAGTCCATTTAGTAAAAAGGGAGTAGTCTGAAGCTGATTGTGAGAAACCAAACCTCAGTAGGAAATTTGTTGACTTGGCAAACCACTGCCTAGATGCCTGTTAGAGGCCATATAGAGACTTCTTCAAACGACAAGTCATCCTCTGAATGCTTCATGAAGGCACTTCCAATCCCAGAGGCAATTTCATATACACCACTTCATCCAATTCTCCATGAAGAAATGCATTGGAGACATCCAACTGCTCCATGATCCAGTGTTTGGCTCTTGCAAATGCTAAGAAGGTCTTTACAGTATTTATCTTTGCCACAGGGGAGTAGGTGTATAGGAAATCTAACCGGCCCTATAATACAAGTAATATCCGCACCAAACTTCGAGGAACTGCTTAGCAAGGACCCATTTGTAGTGTCTCTTTGCCAGACCAAGGCCACATCGACATCGGTCCCTCTTGGTGGACGCGATGGTGGTCAATCGATGTTGTCATATATGGTTTGGGGCAATGAGACGAGAGAAGAGAAGAAGAGGTCTCGAGGATGGAGGCTTCATCTGCATCAAGTGCACGAGCTTCCATCACCAGTCATACCACATGCTCGTGACTTGCGACTCCACCTCATTGACGAGAACCTCTACTTCAAGGAGGTTCTAGCATGGACCGAAACTTAGGAGCCATCATCCGGCTCACGACGTGAAAGAAGTGCTTGTTGGGAGGCAACCCAACCAGTCGGTTTGCATTTCTTTCTCTATTTCTCCTCGGTTGAGTCAGTTTTGTTATTTGATTTTAGAGTCAATAACTCAACCTTTGTGAGATTCTGTGTGGTGTTTGTGTTCTGATTACTCTCTCTTCCTGGAATGCACCGCCTGCCCCGTCCATCATCATTCACCCTTGATCTGGTAACTTCGTTCTACCCTCTTTATCTTTCCTCCATTGAGGACAATGTCGTGCTTAAGTGTGGGGGGGGGGGGGTGTTCGATTATGTATGCGGGTGAATGTTTGGCTGTTAGTATGCTTGGAGCCTAGTCCACTGCCCAAATTTTTTTAATTTGAGGGCTCCAAGTACGTGTCTCCATGCAAATTGCCTGCTCAGTATGCTTTGAATTGACAGTCTCTATAGTAATGTGCAACCTAGGGAGGTAGTGTAGCACTATGGAGGATGTTGAAGTATAAGATTTTTCCTATCTAGCACTCTGTTGTGCAGTTGATTTTGTGAATTAGTGGAGCTAAGACCGTTGAATTCATGTGGTAATGGTGAATCTGTTTGGATTATGTTATGGACTCGTGTATCGAACAGGGTGCTCATATGGAAAATGGGAAGCAGTTGGTCCTCCATGTCAGAATCATTAAATCTTAAACATGGGGTAAGCCCAACGTGTGTGGCACCGTTCATTGCACAAAATCGGGTTTTGGAAGAGATTTTAGTGATCCTTAGTGGGGTACTCCTACAAGGTGAAGCTAAGCTGTCTCTAGTACAAGTAAAATTTTCACCCGTTGAATGGTTTGCCTACTTGAGGATGTGTTTTTAAGGGCACAGATAGAGCTTCCGACCCCCCTTAATTTCATTGACCCTCCACACGAGTTGAGGAAAAGGAGTTAAAAGAAGTACCTTGGCGAGCGCCAGGTGTACAGAAATTGCTCTTGCTCGACTAATAAGGGTCGACCGTGCAAAAGACTGCAGTTGGAACCCCTGCTAAGCGAAAGAAAAAAAAAAACACAAGGAAAATGTGAATGAAAGTGCAAAAAGGGGTTCCAACTAGGGCTGCAAACGAGCCGAGTCGAGTCGAGTTTTAACTTAGCTTGAGCTCGGCTCGTTTATTAATTTTTCAGCTCGAGCTCGGCTCGAACTCGAATTTTGATAATCCAGCTCGAGCTCGAGCTCGGCTTGAATAAAAATAATCTAGCTCGAGCTCGACTCGTAAAGCTCGATAAATGCTCATTAACATAGCTTGTCAAGCTGAGTACAAGCTCAGCTAAAGATGAGCTCGATTTAAAATCATTTTTGCTGGAAAAATGTATAAACATAAGAATTTAAATGATAGAAAGAACACTAGAAACTATAAATAACATCTAAATTTCATACACATCTGTATTAGAAGACAATGTTCATGTTTAAAAGAGTAATTCATCCTTCCACAAGCTGAAAACAAGGCAGCTCGCGAGCTTAGCTCGACAAGCCACTGAACCAAGCTAGCTCGCGAGCTTATCAAGCTGAGCATGGTCTAGCTCAGGCTTGGCTCGTTAACTAACGAGTTGGCTTGCGAGCCGGCTTGTTAAATAACGAGTCGAGTGTCGAACGAGTTTTTTCCGATTCGAACGCCGAGTTGCTCGCGAGCGGCTTGGCTCATTTGCAGCCCTAGTTCCAATGGTGAAATGAAGTGAAGGAGCTCCCCGGTACAAGGAGTCCTTGGTTTTGAGTGTTGTGAGTCCCTTTGTCCATGAACTGACTGTCTTACTTCTACTTCTTCTCATGATCCTGGCTTGAGTCTAGTACTCGCATTGAGAGAGATAGGGGACGTCTTAGAAGACCAGTTGACCTCGTAAGCTGCTATATGATCTAGGAAATCCTCTACCGACGATCAGGGTTGTTTATTGCTATAGAGGTCTGGAGATCTGCATTGGTTTGAGTTAGGTTTGCTTGGGGACAAGCAAACGGTTAAGTGTGGGGGAATTTGATAACATCGTATTTGCACATGTTTTCACCCTCGTTTCTTGATCATTTTGGCTTGATTTTCTGCTTTCTTGGACTATTTTATGTTAGGTTGTGTTCCTTTGTCACATTTCAGGTCCTAGCATGTGAATTGAAGCATAGGCGCAAGTTTCAAGTCAATCGAAGATCATTTGGCAATTCGGGAGAAGAAACACGAGCATGACCTGAGGAATAATGGACTTCTACCTCATATTATGGACAAAGAATCATGCAAGCTTGTCATGAAAAGAAAGAGGACGAGACTACGAGCGTTTGGGATCAAACGACGACTGATTCGGAGTCCGGACGAGGGAGAAATGAAGCATTAAACAGAGGTTGGGTAAGCCACACGGGCATCCTGGAACTCCACACGGCCGTGTGGGTCGTGACCGTGTGGAAATCACCGAGCCTTCACACGGGCAGCTGGGAAAGCCACACGGCCGTGTGGCCTGGCCGCGTGATCGGAAACTTCTGTTTAAAACCCAATTTTCAGCAAAAGGAAATGGGAGAGCTGGGTTTTTGGTTCCCAAACACCCAAGGGACGAACCCTAGAGAGAGAGAGAGCAACTTGGGAACATTCTTGATAAAGCACCAGGGGGGGTGCTTTTGATCAAAGTAACGCAGCAAACACACTCTCGAACGATAATGATGGAAAAGGTAGAATTTCGCCACAATCAAGGTGATTACTTGATTGATAAGAAACTTGTAAAACGAATCTGGAATCCTCACAGAAATGCCTCACAAGGGTTCTCGAATTAGCAATGGAATTCCTCACACGACTAACTCAAGGGTTTGATTCTTGAGAACTCTCAAAGAACACAATTCTCACAAAGGAGCAATTTTCATTCAACTAAAACTTGGATCCCTTACAACGTGAGAATGAAAGCTATTTAAAGACAATAAAAACCTAATACAAACCTAATAGAACTAGGAAACTAATTAGAACAGAAAAAGGCTAAATAATTCGTTCAAAACAAGGTAACTTGCTGGCCAAGAAACTGACTTAAAACGCAAGCAAGTCTGCCTAGGAAAACAGGCTTCATAGCATCTTTGAGCCCTTCGAAAATGGTCTTCTAGGTTGATTAGAATTAAACCAATTCCTTTCCTTTGTAGAATAAAACTTCTTGTTTCACCTCCAACTTGAATCAGCCTGAGATCATGCTCCAAACTCCAGATATAGGCCTTCAAAGTTGGTATCTCAAAACAGTTTTCTGCCTTAGCCAAATTTAGACAGTTTTCCTGTTTCGAGGTAGCCTTTTGATGGGCTTTGAAAGTGACCTTCCAGACATCTCCTTGAGCTCCAAAACATACCAATGTAATCATAATAACATTATCTTCAAAACAAGCTCTTGCTATCTCATTTGTATTGAGCCATTTGTGAGATACAAGCTTCCAAAGTAGGCTACCTGAAACTGTTTCAACACTTAGCCAAAAATCAGAATTCTTCAAGTGAGTTGAGATGACTTCTTTGGAAAGCAATTGTGAATTGTGGATTGATCCAATTGGGATCATATAAATTCTTAGAGCTATTTTGGAGGATTTCCTCACCATTGGAGCTCGGGAATCAAGCTTGGAGATGGAGATTGATGATCCAGATCAGATTTCTGCAGTCTCTCTCTTCTCTATGGAGTAACTTCCCTTCACTTAGGTTTTGAGGAACCCTAGTTCCATGTGTTAGGATCTTTCTTGTATGAAGTTTTGGATGCTATATTGTTTGATTATAATCGATTGAGACATGATTTATTGAGTCAATTGAATCTTGATCAAATTCTCTTGATTTCTGCTTTACCCTATGATAGATAGAATCTGATTAGGTTAAGAGAGCTTCCTTGATTGATAGTGGTGAATTGGTTGTGCGAGAGTCAATCAATTCACTGCTTTGTACTGGAATCCAATTCCAGTAGTGGAGTTCTGTGTTCATAGCCTCAGCTTCCTATTCCGGTGAAGACTAGTCGTCTTCTGGGTAGTTTGACAGAGAGGGCTTGGTCAGCTTAAGAGATTCCAAGCTAATTTAGGATCTTCCGCAGTTTAATCAACAGTAGATCAACCAAAGGTAATTGCAATTGGACCTAATTGAGGAGCTAGGGGGAATCATACCTAAGTGAGTTCCCAACTTGTAATTAGTAGAGTAGTCAGTAGAGTAGTTTATAAATCAATCCTTAATCTAGTTTGCTATATAATGAACTGAAGCTGAGTAATAGTAACTCTAGAGATCCGTGGATTCGATATTTATTACAAGTGCCACTATACTGCAGTCCCTTTCATTGGTTACACTTGGCCATTGTTAGGTGTTGTGTTTTAGCTTGTCACCGCCCTCTCGTCGGTTGAAATCCCCCCGAAATCGCCGCACTTCTTCTTCTCATCCTCCATCGACGAGCCACCCCTCTTCTTCTTCGGTGTCTCAACCATCCGGTGGCTTGGAAGACAGCATGCACCCGACCCCATATTCGAGCTTGCCTCATCGCCAATTGATGACACCATCGAAGCCGCCATCAATCGAGCGCTCGGAGCTGCTTAGCGGATCACCGGTTGTCGCACCTCCCACGCGATTCGCGCCATCGGTGGAGATTCCCAACGACCCTGCTCCTTCGTTGTTTCGCGTCGGCGGTCGCTGCCAACTTCGCCCAACTTTTTCCTCTCCGCCAATGGTTTCCTCTCGGTCTCTGCCTTCGGTAAACAGTCAATCCAGCGGCGAAGAGACAAGCTCGAGCTGGCGACCATCTTCTTCCATTCTGCCACCGCGTCGGACGATTACTTCGCCTCTTTCTTCGATGGCGATGAGCAATCAGTCAGACGACGCTGGTCGGACTCCGCCCCTCATCTTTGGCTCTATCTCCTTCCGTCGTTTCTGCAGCTTCCAATTAGGTGGAAGCAGATTAATCGGGCTCCTTCCTACAACCTCCAATTTGGCAATGAAAATTATATCACCCTCCATCCTCGTGAGGTCGTGGGAGTGGGAATCTGGCGTTGCTACCACAATTGAGGATACAGCGGCATCTCGTGCGAGAGCGGCTGTGGTCGAAGAAGACCTCGCCCCACTTACGACGATTTCGACGGAAGCACCGTCGAATGCTGGTGACTGGTGAGCAGGACGAAGCTCTAATGCCGGCCAACTCAATCGTCTCTTCGGTGCTGGCGTCTCCCGGCTAGCTTCCGAGATTGTTCCACCTCGCTCGAGCATGATTGGGAACACAGGTTGTTCCAACCAATCTTCGAAATCCATATTTGCAGTTGCGGCCTTCGACAATGGCGGTGCGTCCTCCTTCATCGGCTTCTTTGGCGCGGCGGCTGCGGCTTTGGGTGGAGCATCCCGTGTGATGTTCGCGTACAATGACAAGGACGAGGTAACCTTGTTCTTTCTTGCCTCTTCCAACTTCAACTTCAAGATCTTGGTGAGTTCTCTAATTGAGAGCTCGAAATTGGTCGAAACCATGGTACGAGTGCCACAACAGCTCTGATACCACCCAAAGAACCCCGCTTCTAGGGATTCTAGGGACTGATCTTCGGCATCCGTAATTATCGTAACAATTAGGGATTTAGGGGTTGATAGAAAGAACTAGGGATTTAGACGAGAAGAACAAAATAGAATTGGGAATCGGTCGAGGCCTTGGATTAGGAGAGAATAGAAATTAGGAGTTGAGAGGAATTAGATTTAGAAGGATACTTTACTCAATACTTTTCTTTACTGATTATGACGTAAACCCAAAGTACATATTTATAGGAAATAAACCCAAAACCCTAATGAACTAATTCTAACCTAATCGGCCTAGGTTAGCCGCCTAACCCTACTTAACTAACCTTATTAATGATTTATTCTACTAATTATATATTGCTAACAGTCCAGAACTAGCTTATAGGAGGAAAATAAACTTAGACTACAGGATATATGATCTGAAGCTCCTGTATCTACAATCCACAGGTTAAGGTTGTGAGTTTATGACTGTGAGAGGATGACAGGACATGTTTACCTGAAAAACTGGGGAAGGCAGATGGAAAATGAGTGGCATAATAGGCTTGATGGTTAATGGATGGATAAGAAGGTGGTGAAGGTTGTGTGCTAGCACCAGCTTGCAAGAGAAACCTGAGGTGATTCATTTCTTCAGGTGTAAATGCAGCAGGAGATGGAGATTTACCTTCATTAATCACACTGCCCTCAGAAGCACTTTCATTTCCACTCGCCCGAGAAATAGAACCAGCAAACCTTGGTGTGCTGGAACTTGAGCTAGAGCTCAAATTCGACCCATTACCACTATAGGTGTCAAAACATAGCCGACCCGATTAACCCGCCCGATCAATCCGACCCGCAACCCGACCGCAACTCGAATTGACTAAAAGTCAACAACCCGTAACCCGCCCGACCCGCAACCCGATTGACCCGCAATCCAACTAACCCGCAACCCGACTGACCCGCAACCCGATTAACCCGAACCCGATTGACCCGCAACCCGACTGACCCGCAACCCAATTAACCCGAACCCGATTGACCCATAACCCGACCGACTCAACCCGAATTTCATCTAATCCACTTGAATAATTATAAAAATATACAATACATAGTTATTCAAAATAAAATTTTTCATTCTAAACTTAAGTAAAATTATTTTTTCATTTCGTATAGGAAATTTAAAAAATATGAAACTCACTTGATATTACGTATTTTAAGAAAATTACAAAAATTGAAACATGAAGGTCACTTGAGATCATGACAATATTAATATAATATATAAATTAAAATTTTGGTTAATTTAACTATTCGATAAAATTATCAATTAAATATAAATAAAGTAAAGTAATGTATTTGGTAATTTGATGTTTTTAAATGAAGAGGGAAATTTTGGTGTATTCAAGTTTTTGGGAAGAGAAAGAAGAGGGAAATTTGGTTCTTTGAATTTTTTAGAAAAGAAACAAGTGGGAATTTTGGTGGTTTTGATATGTGGGAAGAGAAAGAAGTGGGAAAATTTGATTCTTTTGATTATGAAAGAGAAATAAGGAGGGAAACTTTTGAGTTTCCAACTTTTTGTAGAAGGAAAGAGGAGGGTAATTTGGTTCTTTCAATTTTATGGAAAAGAAAGAGGAGGAAAAATTGAGTTTTCTAATGTATGGAAGTAGAAAGAAGGAGGGAAATTTTAGTATTTTTGTGAAAAGAAAGAAAGAAACAAATTTGGTGTTTTCAATTTTTTGGTTTTTCATAATTTTAGCTTTTGAAATATGAATCTTTAACTTTTATATGGAGGACATGACTAGTTAAAATTATTCTTATATGCTTTGAAGGCTAATATATATATGTATGTAATTTTTTATGGGCTAATAAATAAATTAACCATTAGTTACAACAATTTATACTAAACTTGATAAGTAATCTTTGACGGTTCGTTATTTAGGATATAAAGTATATGGTTATGGTATAGAGTATAAGGTACATATGGTTTAGGGTGTATATGGTCAGGGTAAAAGATATTGATGGTTTTGACGGTTCTAAGTTTTTTATTAATATATGTTCACTTGAATTCATTTGAAGTCTTTAACGGCAGGAGATCCCTTTTTAATTTATGTTTATGGTACGTGGTTAGGGTACAAGGTATGTGGTGTAAAGTATAAGATATATGGTTAGGGTATAACAATTAGCAAATATCACTTTTTATCTATGTTTTGAAAATCAAAGTATGAATTTCACTTTTAAATTAACTATACTAGCAAAATCACAACTCAAAGACATATGGTTAGGGTATAGGGTATAGGTTATGTGGTTAGTGTATAATGTATTGATGGTTTATGGTATACAATCAATAACATATACTAAATTAATATCGTTGATTGAGGGTAAGGCTAAGTGTATAGGATATATGCTATTGAGTAAGTTATGATTGAAGTAACAATAATTTTACTAAATTTGATAGCAATCTTTAATGGTTCAATTTTTAGGATAATTTGAACAATTTTACAAATAACTCGTTTGGCAACAGTTTACTGAAGTTATTTGGGCAATGAGTTATTTCGAAATAACTCCTTTTATCACTATGCTTTTGCCAAAACCCACACACCAAATACTCGATTTGCATGGTTATACTAAACGAGATACTTTAATCCAATTACTACTTAATTAATACTAAAATATCAAATAAACAATTAATGTTGTCTTTTGGTTGCAAATATTGATATCACAATTACTATTAGCTATAATACTTTACCAATTATGATTAATTACATAATAAGTTTGCAAGTCATATAAATTGATTTAACATTTTGACTAGTTTTTTTCAAAAAAATAAAGTATATATATACGAGGTAGAAATAAATTGGTTAAAAAGTTGAGAAAATATTTTAAATTAGTGTAATAAAATGTGTAAGTTGGTAATGAGTAATAGTTAAGTTACTTGATGCGCTGGCTCGAACAACCCGAAACCCGATCCGCCCGCAACCCGCCCGACCCAAAACCCGATGAACCCGATTGAACCCGATCCTGATGAACCCGCAACCCGACTAACCCGCAACCCGTTTGAATCCGAACCCAATGAACCCGAACCCGATGAACCCGAACCCGATTGAACCCAGCCCGAACCCGCCCGATTGACACCTATAATTACCACTGCCTTCTCTTTGCATCTCCTGTTTTTTCTTTTCGTTCTGTTTACCGGTTTCTTGCTGCTATTTCATTTCCGGGTATACCCAATTTCCCCACCGCATCGATTTGGAGAAAAGTTGTTCCCACCAAGATTTGTTTTTTCATGTGGGTTCTCTATCACATGAAGATTCTTACATTGGACAACCTGCAGAAGAGAGGAACTTCGCTTGTCAACCGCAGCGAGCTCTGCCAGAATGATGCAGAATCAGGAGATCACTTGTTTGTTGAGTGCAGCTTCACCCAAGTGGTTTGGGCTCTTTTCTCTAGGAATTGTAGGTTTATCCCCCAACCTAGTGACAACATCAGATCAGTTATCCTGAGGTGGTCTGCATCCTCCCCCAACAACTTTGCTGATTGCGTCTCCTACTACATCCTACACGCTATCAGCTGGAACATTTGGCTCGAACGCAATTGACGCATCTTCAGAGACACCAGCGTTCCGGTTGCTACACTCGCCCACAGAATTGCTCGCAACATCACTGAGTGGCTGGTTGCTCACAATAAAATCAACATAATTGAAGGTTCAACTTGGCTTAGAAGTTTCTCGCGTAGAACTTGACTTCTGTGTTCCACCCTGCACGCGTTCACTTAAGCTTTGGGCCTTGCAAGTTTATGTAGAAGCCTTCGCATGTCTCGTCATTTACAGTCCGGTCACAAAGTTGATGGATCTTTTGATTTGCGGATGTTGATTTAGCAACTGGATTTGGGGTTCAGCTTATGGACGAATCTGTTGGAAATAAAATACTGTATTTATTTCCTTTATACTTTGGTGGGCACGTTTCAGATATGGAATGGGAGACTTTTGGTGGGTTTTTCTAATTTGGAAATGGAATTGGGAAATGGCTTTTGGGGAGGTGAGTAGGCGGCAGATAGAGCTAGAATAGGAAGGTTTTTTTATTTTATTTCTTCTTTGCTTCTTTCTTTGAGATTTTTCCAGAAATAGCACTGTTTAAAAAAAAAATTCCAAAAATAGCACCCAACTCTGAAAAATTCCAAAAATAGCACCATTTTTGTAAAACCGCTACTCGGAGGTGCGTTTTTCGATGAAAACGCCACCCGAGGGCGCGTTTTTCGATGAAAACCGCACTGGTAGGGAGCGGTTTTGCAGACCGCACCCCCAGGGTGCGTTTTGGTAGCAAACCGCACCCCCAAGGTGCGTTCTGCTTTTTTTTTTTTTTTTTTGAAAAATCCTAACTTAGGTGGAAACTTCAAACGAACGTATCTTTATGTTCGGGTATCCGATCGTCGCGATTTTTTTTTTGATTCCGCATAACTTTTTGAGATCTTGCAAGCCGAAGACTGCCAAAGGTGGTTTGGTCTCGCCTTCGTACCAAAAAATGTCGTTTGCTATCCCGAACGAGCTTTTTTCCGATTTCGTCAAACTTTGGACAACCGTAACTTTGTGCTCCAAATCCAAACGCCATGATTCTTTTTTTTATTTCGCATAACTTTTTAAGGACTATAATTTTTACTAGGAATGTATTTTCAAAACAGGAATTATTTTTGGATATATAGGATTTTGGGAATAGCTTATCTTCCCTTCTCAGCAATCCACGTACATTTTGAAATTATGTCTATGATAAAAGTTGTATTCCTTAAAAATTTATGCGAAATGAAAAAAAATTTCATGCCGTTTGGATTTTGGAGCACAAAGTTATGGTTGTCCAAAGTTTGACGAAATCGGAAAAAAGTTCGTTCAGGGTAGCAAACGACATTTTTTGGGACGAAGGCGAGACCAAACCACCTTTGGCAGTCTTCGGCTTGCAAGATCTCAAAAAGTTATGCGGAATCAAAAAAAAAATCGCGACGATCGGATACCCGAACATAAAGATACGTTCGTTTGAAGTTTCCACCTAAGTTAGGATTTTCAAAAAAAAAAAAAAAGGCAGAACGCACCCTGGGGGTGCGGTTTGCAAAAAAAAAAAAAAGGCAAAACGCACCCTGGGGATGCGGTCTGCAAAACCGCTCCCTACCAGTGCGGTTTTCATCGAAAAACGCGCCCTCGAGTGGCGTATTCATCGAAAAACGCACCTCCGGGTGGCGGTTTTACAAAAATGGTGCTATTCTTGGAATTTTTCGGAGTTGTGTGCTATTTGTGGAATTTTTTTTTTAAACAGTGCTATTTCTGGAAAAATCTCTCTTTCTTTTTGCTCTGCACTCCATTTGTACATAACCAAGCCTATTTATAGGCATTTCACTCCAAGCCACCGCCATACAAATTGTGGCCTTCATTTTTTTACATTTTATTTAATGACAACTGCCAACAAACATAATTAAATTCTTACCTATCAATTTCTGGACACTTCTCAATCTCCCCACGTAGATCACTTCTAGGCCTTTCTGATTTCTTTTGTTTTTAGCTTATTAAAATTTATTAATTAATTTCAACACTCCCCCTTAAAGTTTAATTAGTCGTAACTCCGAGTAGCATCCTCATCTTGACGAACACATCTTGCTTCAATGACTTCGTGAAAATATCAGCAATTTGGTCTTCAGTCTTCACATACTTTAGCGTCACTTCTTTTTGTTCCACGCATTCTCTTAAGAAATGATATCTTGTATCAATGTGCTTACTGCGATCATGAAACACCGGATTCTTTGCTAACGCCAGAGTAGACTTGTTATCAACATAAATCTCACTTGACACTTCTTGTGTCATATTCAACTCCTTCAGTAACTTTCTCAGCCATATCGCATGACACGCACACGATGTCGCAGCAACATACTCAGCTTCACAAGTTGACAGTGTCACAATAGCTTGCTTCTTTGAACTCCATGTGAAAGCTGTATCTCCCAGGAAAAATACGAATCATGTAGTGCTTTTGCGATCATCCACGTCTCCTGCCCAATCACTATCGCAGTATCCAACCAATTTGAAATTTTCTGACTTAGTATAAAATAGACCATGATCAATTGTACCTTTAATGTAGCGCAATATTCTCTTAGCAGCATTCCAGTGTGACATTGTCGGTGCCTCCATGTATCTACTGACTAATCCAACTGCGTAGAGAATATCTGGTCTGGTACAAGTCAGGTATCTCAGACTTCCCACGAGACTTCTAAACTCCGTTGAGTTGACCTTCTCTCCTTTGTCATCCTTAGATAACTTCAGTCCACACTCAGCTGGTGTACTCACAGGATTACAGTTCTCCATCTTAAACTTCTTCAGGACTTCCTTGGCAAAACCACTCTGTGAGATGAAAATTCCTTCCTCCTTTTGAGTTACTTCAATTCCAAGATAGTATGACATTAATCCAATGTCAGTCATCTCAAATTCTCGAACCATCGTCTTCTTGAACTCTTCAAACATCTTAGGATCGTTGCCTGTGAAGACGAGATCATCTACGTACAGGCAAACCATCAATATTGCTCCCCCTTGCACCTTGCAGTATAGTGCATGCTCATGTGGGCATTTGCTGAATCCATTCTGCTGAAAGTACTTGTCAATCCTGCTATTCCAAGCTCTAGGTGCTTGTTTCAGACCATACAGTGCCTTTTTCAGCTTCAACACCTTATCTTCTTGGCCTTCAACGACATATCCAGGGGGTTGCTCAATATAGATATCTTCCTCGAGATATCCATTCAGAAAAGCTGACTTCACATCCATTTGGTGTATCTTCCATCCATTTTGAGCAGCGAGAGATATCACCATCCTGATACTCTCCATTCTTGCCACGGGAGCAAATACTTCATTGTAGTCAATGCCCGGTCTCTGACTGTATCCTTTTGCCACAAATCTTGCTTTGTGTCTGACGACTTCTCCTTTAGCATTTTTCTTGGCCTTGAATACCCACTTCACACCGATGGGCTTTTGGTTCTCAGGAAGTGACACAAGCTCTCAAGTCTTGTTCACAATTGCTCCAATTTCTTCATCCATGGCTTTCTTCCATTTTTCATCCTTCATGGCTTCTTCAACATCCACTGGTTCACTATCAATGAAATGACAGTATAGTGTCAATTCATCACCTTCAATGGTTGTCGTTTCCTCATAAATTTCTTCAAGTCTTCTATACTTCTGTGGCCTTTCTTTCGGACTTTCACTTGATTCTCCTTCTGGGTTGGTAGGTTCTCTGTGAATGGGTGGACTCTTCACAGGTGTAGTTGTATCTGGTTCGTCATCACTTTCATCCATAGTGAATGGATAAAAAGTGTAATTCTTTTTTGCTTCAGTAGTCCAGTCCCATGTTGCTTCTTCATCAACTACCACGTCTCTGCTGATGATCAACTTCTCTTCCACGGGATCAAACATTTTGTAACCTTTTGAGTGTTCTGAGTATCCCAGGAATATGTACTTCTTGCTTTTGTCATCCAACTTCTTCCTTTCTTGATCCGGTACGTGCACATATCCAACACTTCCGAAGACTCGGAGGTGAGAGATTGTGGGTTTCCTTCCGCTCCATGCTTCTTGGGGTGTTTGATTCCAAACACTCTTTGTTGGTGACCTGTTTAGCAGGTAGACTGCACAATCAACAGCTTCAGCCCATAGCTCCTTTGGCAGGTTCTTGCTCTTCATCATGCTTCTCGCCATGTTGAGGACAGTTCTGTTCTTCCTCTCAACAACTCCATTTTGCTGTGGGGATCTTGGGACTGTGAGAAACCTGCGAATTCCTTAATATTCATAGAACCTTCTGAATTTCTTGAGCATAAATTCTCCCCCTCTATCTGATCTCATTGCTTTGATGTAGCGGCCACTTTCATTCTCCACCATCATCTTGAACTTCTTAAAAGCTTCAAATGTATCTGACTTATGCTTCAAGAAGTATACCCATGTCTTTCTACTGTAGTCGTCAATGAACAGTAGGAAGTATTTGTTCTTGCCAAATGATGTTGGAGTGATCGGTCCACAAAGATCAGCATGGACAAGCTCAAGTGGTGCTTTAGCTCGTGATAGGGACTATTTTGGGAAACTTGCCCTGAATTGCTTTCCAACCAAGCATCCTTCACACAACTGGTCTGGATGATTGATCACTGGCAGACCATGAACCATCTTCTTCTGACCGAGTAACTTTAGGCCTCCAAAATTCAGATGGCCATACCTCAGATGCCACATCCATGTAGTGTCCTTCACGCATGCTTTCAAACACTTCGCCATTTCGGTTTGAATGTTCAGGGTGAACATTCTGTTTCTCGACATTGGGACTCTGGCCAACAACTGCTTCTTCTCATTTAACAGCTCCAATTGACGATTCACCATATGAACTTCATAATTTTTCTCCATCAGTTGACCCAAACTCAGGATGTTACTAGTCATGTCTGGGACATAGTACACATCACTGATAAATTGCTGTGAGCCATACTTGAGCCGGATGAGTATTGTTCCTCTCCCTTTGATAGGAACTTTCGAGGAGTCTCCAAATACGACATTTCCTTTCACCGATTCATCCATATCCACGAACATGTTTCTTTTTCCACACATGTGGTTGCTTGCTGCATTATCCAGATACCACATGTTGTATTTCGGTTTCTCATCTCCTTGATGTGAAAGCATCAATGTGCCTTTGACTTCTTCTTCTTGTACGTTGTTTGCCGTCTCCTCCGCTTCTTTAGTCGGACTCCAACATTCCGATGCATAATGCCCGTACTTCGAGCAATTATGGCACTGGACATTGGATTTATCACGACCTTCATTTGATCTCCAACTTCCTCTTCCACGTCCACGACCACGACCTCTGCCTCTGGTGGACGTTTCATAATTGTTCGTGGTGAAATTTCCTCCGTCTCTGCTTTGATATGCTCCTCTGGCTCTTCCTCTTCCTCTGCCTCTGTAGTTGCCTCTGCCTCGACCTCTGTACTGACCTCCTCCTCGGGCACCATCTTTCTCCTCAGTGGTAGCTCTTGTAGCTAACACTTGTTCTGATGATTCTTCATTTCTTTTATTTAATCTTTCCTCCCGTGCTTGCAGTGAACCGATAACTTCATCCACCGTCATTTTTGACACGTCCTTAGCTTCCTCCATGGCCACCACCACATAGTCAAACTTCGGTAATAATGACCGTAGAATTTTCTCCACCACTTTGGTCTCTTCAATTTTCTCCCCATATTGCTTCAATTTGCTGACGACTGACTTCACACGGGCGGTGTAATATGAAACAGATTCACCTTCCTTCATTTTTATTGCTTCAAAATCTCCCCTGAGTGTCTGAAGTCGAACCTTCTTTACTAGTTCCACGCCTTGCATTTCCTTTTGCAGAATCTCCCATGCTTCCTTTGCTGTGGTAGCATCTGCTATTTGATCAAACATCGATTCATCAAGACACTGATGAATGAGAGTGAGTGCTTTCTGATCACTCTTTCTATTTTTTCTCAATACCTCCTTTTCAGTAGGAGATAACCTAGAATCCTCCACGGGAATCTCGTAACCTTTCTCAACAATATCCCAAGCATCTTGGGATCCCAGCAAGGCTTTCATACGAATGCACCAATTTTTATAATTGGTTTTGGTAAGGTAGGGGAATTGAATGGGGAAAATGGATTTTTCAGCCATGGGACAATCGTGATAACAAAAACACGAGAAATTCTTTTCTGATGTGGAAGTTCAGACTACGCTGCAACCACAGAGCATGCTTAAGAATAACTCGGGCTCTGATACCACTTTGTTGGAAATAAAATACTGTATTTATTTCCTTTATACTTTGGTGGGCACGTTTCAGATATGGAATGGGAGACTTTTGGTGGGTTTTTCTAATTTGGAAATGGAATTGGGAAATGGCTTTTGGGGAGGTGAGTAGGCGGCAGATAGAGCTAGAATAGGAAGTTTTTTTATTTTATTTTTATTTCTTCTTTGCTTCTTTCTTTTTGCTCTGCACTCCATTTGTACATAACCAAGCCTATTTATAGGCATTTCACTCCAAGCCACCGCCATACAAATTGTGGCCTTCATTTTTTTACATTTTATTTAATGACAACTGCCAACAAACATAATTAAATTCTTACCTATCAATTTCTGGACACTTCTCAATCTCCCCACGTAGATCACTTCTAGGCCTTTCTAATTTCTTTTATTTTTAGCTCATTAAACTTTATTAATTAATTTCAACAGAATCAACCAACAGAACAAGTCTTCGTGGAGTGACAGATTGATACTTGCTTGCCCTTTGAACTCATTGCCTGAGCAAGCTTGGTGATGAGCTCGTGGTTGAGGCTCTGTGTGTGTAGCATGTACTTCAGTTTCGGCTCCAGAGTTTTTTACTGTGTCTGCACCGGTGCTTTTTCTCAAGTTAGGAATGTTGGTTTGCTTCCTTTTCATCGTTTGCAGGAGATCTTGGGAGGGTGGTGTTTGTCTCACTGTGTTTTGTACTTTTGTTGCTTGTCAGCTTGTGTTTGTAGGATCGGGTACGCTTTATGCTTCAGTGAGGGGTGGGTTTTTGTTGGCTTTGTTGTGCTGCTTTGCTGAACACCTTTGTAATCTCTTTTTTCCTTTTTTTTTTCGTACACCTCTGGTGTACTTTGTTGGCAATAATATTTCACCATTATCCAAAAAAACAGTCTTCTATGTTGTGAGTACTCATCTTACAGAAACGGCAGAATTTCTTCCCCCTAGCTTCAGTATTATCTCTGGAGTTGTAACCCACAACAGCTAATGCCAAATTCTGGCCCTTCTTGCCTCCCATAGCCACATCTGACTTTAACTTCTGTTCATGTTGTAAAAGGTCATCTATTGTAGTTGAGACTGTAGGTAAAGGCCTTTGCATCAATAACTGAGTTTTGATCACTTCATACTCAGGATTGAGGCCTCGTAGAAATCGAATGAGATAGTCAGTCTCTTGCTTCTGCACAAAAGCAGCTACTGCTGCACATGGCATAGGATTATCAGGTGCACATGTACATGGTGTGATGGGACAAAATTCCACGTATTCATCCAACAACCCTTTGATAGTTGTGTAATACTGATTGATGGTTCTAGACCCTTGTTTGCAGGCCTGGATCTCATCCTCAAGGTTTGTAATCCTTAAGGCATTGGGAAGACCAAAACGCCTCTTCAATTCATCCCACAGTGTCTTAGAGTTAGTGTGGTTCAACACTGATCGCCTAATTTCCTTTGTCATGGAGTTCTGAAGCCAGCACAACAAGACTGTATTACAAGCATCCCATAAACTGAATAGATATGCTTCTCTAGGAGGAATGGGGATAGACCCATCTATAAAACCCACTTTGTTCTTAGTTTTTAGTACCACTTGAATGGATCTACTCCACATCACATAATTCGTGCCATCAAAAGGTTCAACAACAATGGATTGAGACATGTTCTCATTTGGGTTAAGGTAGTAGGGATTACCAAATATAACAAGTCTCGTTCTGCATCTGGTTTTGGTTGAAGGTGCCAAATTAAAATCCAGTTGCAACTGCCGTGTTGTTGTTCTTGTTGCTCCACTTCCACCAAAGCCAAAGGGTGGCGTATTGGGCGGAGTCTGAGCTCCTGACATCGCGTCATTGGCGGTGGAAACCCTAGAGCTCACTGAGCTATGATACCATAACAAATTACTTGGATTTTGTGGAATAGGAAAGCTCAGCTAAGACTGGGTCCTCTGCTCCGTTTTATATCTAGGTAGACGATTACATAAAACAACGACATGTGTCCTCAAACGATAGGCTAAAAGTTTAAATAAACAGTAAACTTAACAGCTAACAGCTACTTAATGCTATGCTTTCGTTCCAGTCTATTTCTTCTCTTCGTTTCTTCAATACGACTCCGTCTTTTCAGCACGACATCGTTTTTGCTTCTTCTTCTATTCCTTCTGCAATAAGGATTGCAGCCTTCTTCTTTCCTTCTTTGTTCTTTAATGAATTGCAGCAAGCTTCCAGTAAACATTCCAGCTATGTCAGCTAGAGAGTGAAAGCAGAGAGATAAAGCTAGTATTATAATGATGAGAAAGAAGAAAAAGGGTATGGTTTGGCGGTTGGTGACTGTTGTTGGTGGTACTGATAAGGAAGGAAGAGCACCAAACTCCGAGTCAGGCTGTCGGGTCAACTCGTCCAGCGACCACAAATCAAGTGGAGGTGGTGAGCAGCTTAAGAGATCCGACGTGTTGAACGCCATAGCACGCGGGGCGTCGCCGTTGTTGCGGCAGTTGAGCTTTCCGCCGGGTTCCTCTCCAATCTCGTATCAGGAAGCGCCATGGAAATATATAGGTCCTCGTCCATCGCCTCAAGAGGAAAAGTGACAGTGAAGATGTGGCCACTGATCCGTCCTATCTCCGACGACTGGCATAACTCTGCCTCGACAGTGTTATCGCCATCGTGCGACATCTTTATCGCGGTTCTCTGGCGCCGTACTACGATCGATTGTGTTGTTTGGGCATGATTCAGCTGCAGGGATAGCAGTCGGCGTACTCTTCAGCTCGGTGTCTCCTTCCGATCAGTTGTCTTTTTCCATGTCGGTGATGGCGCCAACGAGTCTTTCCGCCAGGTGCAGGTTTGCTATGACGAGCTCACTACAAAATAACATACATACAGCAGGGGTTTTTCCACTTTTAGCGACGAAAAAAACCGTCGCTAACAAGCCCGGCAGCGGTTTTTATTACCCCTGCAAAACCGTCGCAAGAACACCGTCGCAAAGTAATGACAGGGGTCTGCCAAACCGCAGTAAATGGACTTGCAACGGTTTTTTTGCAGCGGTTTTTCTGTCGCAATTGGTCTACTTTTTGAAGCTTTCACGACAGTTTTGTAGCCCTGTGTAACTTTTTAGCGACGATTTATACGATTTTTAGCGACACTTTTTTGAATATTTTTAGCAACGCTTTTTAGCCCATTACTACAATCTGCTGAAACATTTCAATTTTTTCATATATTTCTAGAACCCCTGCAAAGTACCTTCAAAGTCTACATTCCCCATATCCATGCCACACAATGCTAACTTCCAAAGTACACAATATTACTACACATTACTACCAAAGTACACTTTAACAAATATAAAGTTCCAACTAAATCCATAATATTGAACTTTGACTTTCTTCTGAATCACCAACAGCTCATCTTTATCCTGTTTTAAAGGCAACCAAAACATATAGCTCAAAATCAATTTACATGTACAACTCAAAATCAAATTACATCATCTATATGAGTATATGATATGACTCACTTGGTGCATCTGTTGTAGTTAGAGGGGACTTTCTATATCTTCATGGAGCTGGAAAAATAATAACAAGACAACAAATTCAAATATATAATTAATCACTTCACTAATTAATTAGTTACTCTATATATAGCTATAACCCAACCTGTTTGACTAAGAAGTGAACTAAATTGGACTAGAATGTCAAAGGGGATAGGAATACTGTCACATTCTCAATGACAGAAAGGAACCAAAAAAAGAAAAGGAGGCTGACTTTTTGTGTTAGCATGGAATACATGCAACAGGTTATGAGCTTGCAAACATTCCAGAGGCTGACTTTGTTACTTACCTTTTGTCATACCCGTGTAGCACTTTGGCTTGATGAAGATGGCGCACGAAACGAACTCTCCATTGACCCCTTCTCCCTACGAAGATGTTACAAGAACAGTGTCTTCAGCGTGTCTACTTCCATTTGCAGCTGATCCATCCCACTTCTCAGTTCAACTACCTCACTTTTTGCTTCCATCAGTTCATTTCTCAGTTCAATCACTTCACTTTGTAGGGCGTCTACCTCATTAGAGTTTGATGTCGTGGTAGAATTTATTGAAGCTGACGAAGAAGAAGGCCCCAAATAAGTCGAGGGTGTTGGTCCCAAACCATCACAACGAACCCTCCCAGGATGCTCTGGCCCATGTACCTTCTGAAAGATCTGTTCATTATCAAAAGAACCTTCTTGTCGAAGAGTATGGGCCTTCTCTTACACAACCACAAAAAACAAAAGAAATATACAACATCTAATAAGCAATTTTTTCATTTCTATTTCGATCTAATCATATTGTTCGTAGTGCTATTCATCATACACGATGCAGTAAAGACAACAATCATAATAACAAAGGAAGTTTACTCATCTTGCACAACATAGCAGAATAGCAAAGAAAGTTTACACATCTTTACACATCTATGCAAACCAAATTCAGTAAGGTTTCAATCAAGTAAAATAGTAAGAAATTCTTACAATTAGGGTTGTTGTATACCCATTCACATAGGTCCCGTTCTTTCTTGTCCATTGGATGGTACAGAAACTGAAAATCAGTATAACCTAAAATGGAAAACCAACAGAATGAATATCATAAGAATTGTGTTCTTTTTTTTACTTTGTTAATTTATTCAAAGGAACATGATGGAAGCTAGAATTAAATTAGTATACTGTAATGGTTTGTCGAGGGAAGGGACAGCAAACAGGAGAGGGGAGTATATACTAGATAACAAAGATAGAACACATAACATCACTTGGACAAAATGTATTAAAAAAACTAAAATTAGTAGTGTACCTGGTAATTAACGTGGCACTTGATTAACAAAGAATGTGTCCAAAACTTTAAAGCAACAGGAAGCCCCTCAAGCAAGTAAGTTGTGCTTTGGACATTCTTCCTTTGGCACTATATAAAAACTACAAGTAATGTTGGACGACAATTAGAACATGGTCTTAACTCATAAGTTTGGCTGGCCAGATAAAAGCTGCAACAGATAGCTTCATTTTCATATATAAGCAACAAATCCTAACTATTACAGAATCAACAAAACCAACTACTAATTCCATGTCCTTAACCCATAATGAACATCATCAATGACATAACACATATTATAACCTGCCATTCCTTTCCTCTATATAAACTACGTACATGGATAACCTATTATACAAGCATTCATGTACAGAGAAGTATCCCATAAACGTGAGTTTACAAGCCATGTAAGAAGCTTACACAAGAACAAGTACCCTTTATCTTCTCCTCCTTGCTAGCTGGAAATATACACCCCACAAAACCAACTATACCAACTCCTACTGTGTGTATAATATATATCTATCTGTATCAAAGCTTCGGATTGCTTTAACATCTTACACCTAGATCTACGGAAGAACATCAGAGGCATTCGTGCACACAAGCGGTTGAACTTATCTATCACTAGTGGGAGCAGAGAATTAACGAAAGAGGAAGAGGGATGGACTCACACAGGTTGACAAAATCCCAGATGGCAAAGATTTGTGAAGAAAATTGATCAAGTCTCGTCGCAGATTCACTTGACTCAGCTGATTCGGTTACTACGTTCAGAGCAATCAAAAAGCACAAATCATATTTAAGAACTATATTATGCTCGAGATCAGAAGAAATCCACAAGCACAAATTAGGTTTAGAGAGTACCAGAAGAAATAGTTGGAATGCGGTAGCGATCGATGATCGGAGAGCTGGCAAGAGGAGAAAACGGCTTCGGAACAATCTGTTCGCAGAGAACGGCTTCGGAGGAGGAGCGGAATCGCCGAATTGAAAATCGGAGATGAGCCGAGAGCTTTTTCTCGATAGGGAGGAGGAGGAGGATCGGAGAGCCGACGAGAGGAGAAAACAGCTTCAGAGGAGGAGGAGAATCGACGGATCGGAGATCAGAGATGATGGCGAGATGAGCTGAGAGCTCTTTCTCGATTGTTTTTTCCGGTGCAGAGCTTTTTCTCGTGGATAAGGAATGCGATAAAAACAATTTTGTTGAAAAAATGAGTTTCGGTAAAAATTCAAAATTGGTTTGTTCTTTTTTTTTTACAAACAAATTGGGTGGTTGTTTGTTCCGCTGGATCAATCGCTGCACATTTACATGTTTGGGCCTATCAGCGGTTATAACATTCGCTGGGCCATTCGATGCCAAAAGTGAAGGATATAAATCCCGGCAGCGGTTACTCCAACCCTTGGTAGAGAACCGCTGGGCTTGGCCCAATCGCTTGTAGTGGCTCACAGGTCTTCGACATGTGTACACCTAACTTGCGGTGCTCTTATCCTAATCCGATCAAGATAAGAGGTATGTTGGATAATTAATTTTCTTTTCGTATTTTTTATATAGTTATCGACTTATCATCTTTATTTCATTCGGCTAACTGAGTTGTGCCTGCTTTTCCTTCTAGCTATTCCTAAACCTAAGTTTTGGTTTCATTTTGGGCTTTACAACACAGCTTTGATCGACTGCGTGGTGGGATTTATCACTGTGTCCAGTTTCTTGTCTCTTTGGGGAAAAGATAGGGTGCTAACTCCACAGAGGCTAGCACCATGCTAACTATTATCTAAACTGTCCACTTTTATTTTCATCTACCGACTATAATTAAAGCAAGGGTATAATATGAAATAAAATATAAATTAAAATAGGCAAAATACACTTGTATAGCCATAACTTTCACGTTTGTGACAAAGATAGCCATATCTATTCGAAAATACAAAATAACCAATTCCGTGCATTTTGTTAACGGTGTCAGTTGACGATCTGACTGTACTAACGGAAGAAGCTGATATGGCGAATTATTGTCCCCACTCACTGATGTGGATCAACACAAAATAAAATAATATTAATTTTGAAAAAAACGGCAAAAAAATATATTTTTCTCTGAATCGGGATTTCTTCCGCTGCCGCTTCATCTCACTGGTCTCACCCCCTCTTCCGCTCTCTCCGACCCCTAGCCGCCGTCGCCTACTTGGCTATTTCCCTACCTTCAACTCCGCATGCCTCGGTTCACTGTCTGGCTACCCGTACGACTTCGTCCTCGCTTAAAAATCCCAACCCTAACTGGTCCAACAAGCCCCCGAAGGAGACGATTCTGCTGATGGTTGCGATTTCGAGCACTGGCTCGTGGTGATGGAGAAGCCGGAGGGGCTTAATATCATCGACAGTTACATCAAAACCACTGATTGATACTTTTGATGGGCTATTGGCCAATTGCTATTTCATTCTCTTTTATCGTATTCGATTTGGAGGTCGGGTTTGTGTCGATGCGACGACTTGGAGGTCTTTTATGGCTGAGCTTTCATGGTCGCCGGAGTGAAGGTTTGGTGGGGCTGATCACGACTGGATCTACCGGTCCTCGACAGTGATGATGCGGACGCGACGAGGAGCTGGACCGCGGCTAGAGCTCTTGGAGCGACTGGATCTACCGGCGCTCGCGTCGACGGCCACTTGCAGCTGAACGTCGCCGAGATCTGCTTTGGGGAGACGGATTGAAGATTGCGTCGAAAGGATGGAGGGATTTTGGGAGGAAGGCTGGGTTTGTGGATTTGGGAAGATGGGAAAAGGCAAATTTGGGAAATCAAAAGAGGGATCTCGATCTGGGTTTTTGGGATTTTGGGAGAGAGAATGCACAGGAGAGAGAATAAAAAAGTACTATGTTAAGAGGGATCTCTTGACATATGCTGGGAGAATCCAACTCATCTCCACTGTGATTACTAGTACATACGTTGCAAAATTGGCTCAACATTTTTCTGCTTCCTCAGTATATCATCAAGGAAGTTGAACGGTTATGCAATGAGTGTCTTTGGGATTCTGCTGCGGATGGAAGTTGAGCACGTGCAGTGATGGAATGGGATAAGCTAGCATTACCTAAACAGGAAGGAGAGCTGGGGATTCGTAACTTCAGTCTATGGAACAAAGCGTGTGTCCTAAGGCATATTTGGGAGGTCTTAACTTCAGGAGGTTCCCTTTGGGTGACGTGGGTCACTAGATACAGATTGAAGCAGAAGACTATATGGGAGGTATCTGGTACATTTGCTGGAACATGGGTGTGGAGGAGATTCCTGAAATGTAGAGGGTTTGCTTCCTCTCATGTTACAGGTGTTCCTCCTCATGTGTTATGGCAAGGTGAGAAAATAAAAAAGTACTATGTTAAGAGGATTTGGGTTTCTATAAGGGATCGACCACAAGAAGTGAGTTGGTGGAAACTTGTATGGTCAAAGGAGATAATCCCCAGGCATGGCTTTATCCTGTGGCTTGCCATGCATAATAGATTGGTTACTCAGGATAAGTTATTAGCTTGGGGAAAGCCCTTGTCAGGTTTATGTTTATTGTGTCCAGGAGGCTTAGAGAGTTGTAACCATCTTCTGGTGTCTTGCTCGTATACTGTTTGTGTGTTGCAGCAAAGCTTAAAAGCTATTTCACCCCAGCTGCAGCCTGCAGGGGACTGGGACAACACTGTCGCTTGGTGTGAGCAAAATTGGAGTACAAAGAACTCAAGACAATGTTTGTGCAGGTTATTGTGGAGCACAACCCTCAGTCATATTTGGCGAGAGCGATGTACCAGGCTATATGGAAAGAAGACCATTATGCTGGCAGGAGAGTTGATGAAAGTAATTCATAGTGATGTTTTGTTTCGAGTGTCTGGGGATCCTATTCTTCAGACTGAATTGGAGTATATAGATAGGTTATAGTTATAGAGTTTATTCCATTATAGAGTTGTTTCCCTTTGCTGGGTGTTTTGGTTGTACTGTTTGAGAGGCACATTAGGTTTTTTCTTATGGCTGCCTGAGCTTAATGCAATTTTTGATTTCACATCAAAATAAAAAAAATACTTAAACAAAATTCTCTACTACTTAATCGCTACTAAAATTAGAACCGGAAAATCTCAACCCTTTTTCCTTTCCCTCTCACAAACGTGCTGCTAAAACCAGAGAAGTAACCCAAAAGAAATGGGCATATTCCTTCACCTTGTCCGGTAGAGGGTACATCCTAATTGGTGCATAGCATAGGAATCCCTCCGCCCAAACTCATGGTCCAAACCAGAAACTTTGAGAATTGTAGATTTACTGTTGTCTCATTGATCTCCCACCTCCATGTCGTTGAATCCCAACGCAAACTGCGCTTCAGGGCAACGGTTTTCATGGGCGACGCGGATCGCTCCGCTGGCAGGCAGTTAGGTCGTCAAATCGCCTGCCCATCGCGCGGTTGCATGGACCGCCACGTGGAGGCGCGTTTTGACAACTATGAAGGGTCAAACCGCCCCTTATCCGCGCGGTTTGACTGAGAACCGCGCCTTCGAAGCGCGATTTATAGGGAAGGTTGGTATTTTTGGAAATTCTTGAAAATGTGTGATATTTTTGTAATTTTTTTTTTAAAACGGTGGTAGTTTTTGATTTTTTCAGGAACTCCGTATCTTCTTTACATATTTTTCTCAGGGTCTTTGTTTGCTTTTCCTATATATCTTCTTTTATTCCTTTGTTCTTTTCCTAGTCATCCTTGTCATGAGAGTAATTGTTAATTTGTTATGGATGATTCGTCTCCAGCAGAGGAAGTTTGTATCATTTTGCTATGGTGTTAACTGTGCCTTCAGTTATTTCTATGGTTTCTGTCGAGTTGTTCATTTTGCAGGGTAGCAGTAAAGTGGTGCATTATAACTTCCGATGGGGCTTCTGTCAAGTGGGCTTAATAATTAGGAATATATTATTAGTTAATTATTGAATTATTCGTATTAGTTTATTGTGTCTTGTTGAGGAAGTTATTATTTACTTGTTGGGATGGAATTAGTTTACTTTGTTTGAGAGGAAAAGGGTTTGTGAGAAAATTCCTATAAATATGTACGTTGTAGTTTGGTTTTGATACGTCAATGAATAAGAATCCAATTTAGTAAAATTCGTAGTAATTTTAACAATAGAAGTAACGTAGATAATCGTTCTCTCGACGCATTAGAAATTATAATGCCCCAATTCTGTGCCGGTTAGGTGCCTCTGTGGCTTTGGCCTATTTGTTTTACTTTTGCAGGAGAACGGTTCATGTAGTTGGTGGAGGTCTATACGGCTTGTTGGTGTGAAGCTGTTACCTTATGGGTTTGCTACACTGCTTTCAGCTTCAGGTTCAATTCTTGACTTTCTCTCTGTAGAGGTAGAAGTTAAGTTAGGAATTTGAATCATGCCAAAAAGGTTTGAAAGAGCTGCTCATATCGTGGCAAGAATGCTCTTTTATCGTTGGTTGATGGTTGGTTGACTAGTGTCCCTTTTTCGTTTCAGCTTGAAAAGGCTTTACCTTTACACTTTATATATGCTTTTCCCCCATTTTGGGAATATCTATGGCAAAAAAAAAAAATTAAAAAAAATTAACGGTAGAAATACCAAATTTTAATAGTAGTACCTAAACTTTCATTTAACACCAGTCGGATTACAACCAAATAACTTTTTTGACGGATACAACCAAATAATTTAGGTTGCTGGAAATTTTCAATATGTTTGCAACCAAATTATTTAGTTACTTTTTAATTCTTGACAACCAATATTATTTGGTAATATTGGTTGGAAAAAATAAAAATTATTATATTACCAAATTATTTGGTTGGAAAAAGTAAATATTATTATGCTACCAAATGTTTTTGGTTGGAAAAGTTAAAAATAATTTAGCTACCCAATTTATTTGGTTGGAAAAAGTAAAAATCAGTTACCAATTAAATTATTTGGTCTCTTCAAGTTTTATTTGGTTATAAATACTTTGATTTTAATAGACAACCAAATTATTATTTTTTTAGCTACTAACATATAATTGGTTGAAAAACTACTTTTTTGTTGTAGTGAAACCAGAACAATTCTGGGAGAAGAATCATCATCTAAAACGCCAACGAGAGAATCTACATCCGTAGAGCACCAACAACAGAAAGTCAATTCTTCCTTTGCTAAGGTAGCCATGAGAAAATGTTCTTTATTATAAATGCATATATGACAAACGCTAGAGCAGATTTCATGGGTTTTTATTAACTTCACCGAATATTGGGGGTTCTATTTTACTTAGTCATGTATGAATTCATTTATTGTCACAACCATCCTTCCTCGTGGCCGTCCATATGTTTTATCTTTGTTTCGTAAAATGTTGTATTATTTTTAAGATATATATGGGGAATTCTTGAAAGAATTATGAGGAAGATGGGTTTTGATGAAAAGTGGATCAATTTGATTATGGTATGTGTTTCCTCTGTTTCATATGCAGTATTGGTGAACGTACATAAGTCGAATTTCTTCAATCCTGGTAGAGACTTGCGGCAGGGAGACCCACTCTCCCCCTACCTC